AAATTAAGTGGTTCAATGAAGAGAAAATTAAAGAATAAACGTTTATTTATTAAGAAACAAAAAAAAACTACACGGTACTTAAGATAAATTTAGGTTTAGAAATAGTACTATAGCGCACAATCGAAATGTTTGTGAAAACTGATTATCTGAAATCAAATTTGACTTAAGAAATTAAAGTTAAAAACATTTATTTTGATATATAAGTGTAATAATCAAAAATTGCTTTTTAGTTTGTATATTTACTGGAATAAATATTAAACATGAATTAGACACATTGAAAATAGTGTAGTGTTCTTGTATATTAAATAATCAAATTTTTAATAACACAATTTTATTCTATGATCCAACTATAGTTATCTATAGGCACTCATATATAAGCAACTAATTACATACGACATTAATTTAAAAATATATTATACATACATCTTATTTTATCATTGAAGAAAATAGAGAATGACAATTTGGGGCCCAAAATTGTAGATTGTACTGGGCCCATAAAGTGATAAATCAGGCCCTGCTTATAAGGGTTACTGTTAATATTACTTTCTTACAATATTGTATCGTACCTATTGTTTGAAATTTTGAATACAAATATGGATACCTAACTATTAATTATTAACTCAGCTAATAGTGACACATCGCGAAAACAGGCCGTGGGTCCATGTACAGATAAGTTTATATTATAAGTATAACAAAGTATACAAATCAAAAATGTATAAGTAAATAAAAAATTAATTTTAAAAATAAAAAGATTTATTATTGTTGGCAATGCACAATATCCTATAAATTGACCAGTTACAGAAGTAGTTAGCAGTGTAAAAGATCATGGACTTGAAAGTATTGTGTTTTAAAATTTTTGGTAAATTATTATGTTTTATAATGATTATTATTAAAGAATTAATGTTGAAAAGCTTAGTTTTGGGTTGCATTATATTTTCCATTTGATATTCATATGATATACCAAATATAGCTTACTAGGTACTGTCTATACTAAAATTATAAAATACATAAATACTGTTGTATCATGCATAATATATAAAAAATATTGTTAACTAGGTTAAGTAAACATTCATATTATGTAATACAATAACAATTAGTATAATTTTAAGCATAGCCAGTAAGTATAAGTAGTGCTTCGATTGTAATATTTATATATAAGTAATATGGGAAGACAGAGAGATGGTCAGAGTGTGGTGATCATGTGACTCGATTACCACTGGGCATCCGAGTTTAATAAAGTGTTTATATTATTATTTGTTTGTCTATTTGTGTACGTCTGTGATCGACGTATACGACAATACACAATAATACAAAATTTGTAAATATTATGACTACCTACTATTGAGTTCTAGTAAATTTTCAGAACCCACCTCATAGAAAATTCCTGAGAACGCCACTGTTCTGTACTATACTGTGTAGAAGTCATCGCTACAATAATTTGTTATTCAAGTCGTAAAACAATATTTTATATTAATTTGTATATAAATTAATACTACTATTCATTAAAGCATCATCATGCACTTTTTCATCAAACTTATGTAAGTATATAGATTTGCCATTGAATCTTCACGTAGCCAATTCAAACACACGCATATATCAGTACTTTTACAGTTCCGTTAAAAACCTTTTGAGAAAAATTCAAATTGTTAAAAAGGAACTAAATCTTTCTCATTCCAGAATTGAAGAAAGGAACTACTTACCTAGTTTCTTTAATCGTTCTTAAATAAAATACATTTTTCGTTCCTCAATAACTTTAAAACTGTATTAAGATTGCTTGTAGTAATACACTGTTTGATTATAGTAATTAGGTAGTAAATAATTGTTTTGTTTTTAAAATGTTTAATTTGTCTATTTCATACGCAATAGTTAAGACCGATAGACCGCCGCGCCGTGACTGCAGACATGCAATGTCGTAAAAATTGTCAATATTATCGTAATACTATAATGTCGTATACCTATAGATTTAATAAATTATTTTTATTTATTTTTTATTTTACAATTATATAAATATCTCATTATATTGACTAAGTTTATAAAAAAATAAAAAAATATTTTCCTGTATTTATAAGAATATAAATTAACGAATAAAGGAATAAATAAAATCGTTCATGTTCCAATAAAGAAATATAATATGTTCCATCATTGTTCCCGTTAAGCTCTTGAAAATTGAATGAAATTATTGGAGCGAGTTGTTTTGAACGTGTTCCTGCCAAGCACTGGTCAATATTATAATATACTGAATATATATATATATATATTATAATCTATATATATAAAAATGGAGACAAAAAATTCGAAATTGCATCAGTTGAGAACGGCTGGGCCTATTTTGCTCAAATTTTTTTTAAGATGTTCGTAATTGCCAGGTGAAGGTTTTTACGAAAGAAAATTTTTAAAAAGTCAACCGAATAATTAGAAAAACTGCAAAAACTATTTATTGATGTCTGGGATTTGAACTCGATACCGTTGTCTTTATTTACTCTATTGTGTATTATATTATATTGGTTGCTATTGGTTAATCGGGCATGTTTGTTGATTTGTATTATTATTTTTTGTAAATATATCTTATATATAAATGAATGACGGTGTGTAGATTAGACCTATGGGAAGAAGATACGCTAATTTAAAAAGGGTTAAATTTGGTTTTTTTATTCATCGGATTTTAGTACGGTTAGGTTAGGTTAGGATTTATAGGTAGGTGGAATTAAGTAAAAACGTCAAACTTGGTATAACTTTGGTACTTTTTGAGTTAAATCATACACTTACGTACAAACAGCACGGGGTCCGCGATCTACCGCAGGTAAATTACCTATCTGATAATGTACTGCTGCAATTCAGAATTTTTATTCCAGGCAACAGAAAAGTTAAGATAAATCTAGAAAATCATACACCGAATATTAAATAACGCATTGAACAATGTTTGAGTCATATAGAGTTGGTACACTTAACGGGAAACGAAGTGCACGGGATCAGCTAGTATTATATAATACATCGAATATTGATGCGTTCTGTTTTACAACTTGTTTTGTGTCATTGTCAGTCACTCAGTTATTATTCGTCATTGGCTCATGATGTCATTGAATTTAAATTTAACACCATCAATTACAGTCACTCACTTGTAACTTACCGTAGAGCAAAGTGGGAACACACTTTTTTTTTGTTTTTCTCTATAAATATCGATAAATAAATTTTATTTATATCTAAGATTCGAGATTTTAAATTAAGGTTCCTTATTAGTTTTATTATTACAGTTCAAAAATATTAAAGATACATATGTATAATTTGTTTGTAGGTATTTACAATTACAATTTTGACAAATAAATATTATCTTCAAATTATTTTGTAGTTCAAAATGTATAAAACGAAAATTAATAAAGGATTGAACATTTTAAACGAGGTTTCTCATAAGTATTTCATACTGTATCTAAAATATCTAAAAATTACATAAACACAGTCTTTTTCAATAGATACCTATTATAAGTTCAAATTTGAACGAATTAATAGATATTTAAACAGAAAATTTTAATTTTAGCTATATTTTTTGAAATTTAAAAATATTATTTGAGTTTTAATATTTGAATCTTTTAAAGTTTATTATTATATTTTATACATAATATTTTTAATAGCAATGTTTTGAATTAATTCGACCTAACGTATTAGCTACTAATATTAAATTACTAAAATAAATGTCTTTAATCGCATTATAGCAATTATAATATCTTAAAAGTTAAAATATACTTTGTAAAATAGCTGACGTGCTGTCTTCGCTCAGAATCGTTTTTCGTATACCATGATATTATATCATTAAATTAAATGTGTGGCAAGGACTTGTCACAAAACCCAGGTGGTCACCCATCCGGGAACTAGTGACACCGGTTGGTGCTGGCACTCGGAAGTCAGAACACTTTTTGACTGAAGCCAAACGCCCAAACACTGTGCTTCACTAGGACACATATTTAATTTTATTGTTTATTATGAGTGTCTATGATCACTTTTTAATTTTATAAGTTGTTCTTACAGAAATAAAAAAAAAATCCAAAACATATAGGTACCTAGTCAAGTTTTTTTTATAGACTTTTGAAAATTCTATATTGATAGAATTGAATATTTAAACGAAAAACAATAATATTTCATCTAACAGTGTAGGTATTATTACCTACTTGACTATTTTATACTTAAAATTAAAATAGTACAAGGGGGACAACTCCCTCACACCTTTCACCTATACGGGTGATGACACCTTAGGGACTAGGCCATAGATCATAATATATAATATGAAAATTGAGAAGTGTTTTATGATGAGTGACTATACTGACTACCGTAGCGGTGGTAATTTGCAAGGTCGTCGTCAACGAGATATTCTATATTATAATTCAACACTTATAATCGCGTACCACCATGCCATGGCAATATTACATTATACCTACTTTAATAATATAATACCTAATCGTGTAGAGACGGAAAAATAAATTCGATTTTTACCGATTCCGTTGCAATTTAACACCGTCGCACGCTACCCGTCACCACATATATACATACACATCCACACACCCCACATACACACACACACCACACACACACGTGTACACGTATACACAGTAACATATATACAAGTAGTACTCACGTACACATGTATATTGTATACATACACATACACAAGTACACTCACACACATGTGCACAGTGACGAACGGTACTAAGCGTTATAAGCATTTGAGGTGCGGCTAGGCGTGGTTACTATGGCTACGACACGGAGGTGTTGAATCGACATTTTTTTCATCGCCTTTTCCAATCACACCGCCAGTGCACACACCTGATATAATATACTTACGCGTGTACCGTTATCGGCCTCGGGCTATACCATCATCTTGCAACTCGCGCGCGTATCGGCGTCTATAATAGTATAATATAACGACGCACAAGTCTCCGGCCGCGAGCCCGTTCGCGCCGGCCGAAATACGCGAGTGACGTTCGTGCGTGGATCGCGGTCGAGTCGCCATCATGGCCGGGCTGGGCGACACGTCGGGTGACATACAGCCGAGGACCGATCATGCCAAGGACATACTGCAGATGACCCGCGACTCGGAGATGATGCAGAGCTACGTTCGGGTGGGCAAGTCGGACGAGTCGGATGACTGCGGCGGCGGTGGAAGCGAGGGGAACGGCGTGAGCGTCGGCGGAGTCGGAGGTGGCGTCGGTCGAGGCGAATCGGATTCGGACGATGTAGCCGGAGCTACGGGGTACGTTGTCGGGGCGAGTGGGGGCGACGGCCACGGTGTATCGGGCGCCGGGCGTACCGGCCGAAAGGGCTGCAGGGTGGCCGCGGGCCGGCGTCATGGGCGGCGTAGGGGTGGTGGTGGAGGTGGTGGTGGTGGCGGTGCTGCTGCTGGAGGTGGAGGTGGTGGTGGCGGTTCTTTTGGAGGCGGCGGCGGTGGTGGCGGTGCGACTACGACGTTCGACGAACTGACCGAAGAGTTCAAGACTCGCAAATCGGGTACCGGCGGCGGAGGAGGCGTCGGCGGCGGTGTTGGCGGAGGTGGCAGCGGTTTCGGTGGTGGCTGGGCCAAGCGGCACAAGCGTGACTCCCGGTCCAGGCTACTCGAAGAGGTTTACACGGACAAGGACCGAGCGGCCGCTGTTAACCTGGGCACGCGCGACATCAAAGCGTCGCTGCGCATGAAACGACGGCAGGACCGGAACCGGACGCTGCACATACCGTCTACGGCCGAGTCACCCACCCTGTTGGCGTTGGCCCGGCACTGCGTCAATGACGTGAGCGTGTCGCTCGAGTTCATCGACAAGGTTAGGATGGTGACGAGGGTCGGGTCGGGTTCGAGAGAGTTTCGGTTAGAAATCCTACATTATATTTTAATCACTAAATTGTAAATATGGAAAGCGCGTTGTATGAATAGCCCGGCTTCGAACGACGCCGGCGCTCGTGGCTTGGCTCGTGACCCTTGACTGTGCCGAGAAACGCATGTGACGAGCCGCTAGGCTTGTGCCGAAAGATCTCCAAGGTTTCGTTCTTTCAAAAGTGCCCCATTATCGGAAGCCATAGTTTTCATTCCATTTACAATATTTTTATTGGAATTATATTATAAACAACAATAATATTTTTAATAATAAATTAATTTAACTATTCTTTTTTATAATAAAGAATAATGAAAACGGAATCAAATTGCCGTTGTCCGATAGTGGGACAAGTTTGTCGATCCTCAGCATGTCCCATATTTATATCACCATTCAGTGTTTATTATACATTATACCCATCTATATAGGTTTTCTGCTTGCTTTGGCATATTGCTGGTGAGTATATTATAATTTATAATATACCTACATACTTATACTAGTTTATATTTTATCGTAATACATTCATAAACAACCTCTACAGAGTTTTGAAATTTTCACCAAATATTTATATTTTATAATAGCATTTTTTAAACATGATGTAGGTTGGTATAATTTTCAAAATACTTTGGATTTGTCTCTGCAGTTTAAAGATATTTAAACTTTTATATTTGAATTTTATTTAAAACTAGTGCAACGAAATAATAAACAATTATACGGGATTACCAACAGAAAAAATACATTCATTAATCATTACTAATACCTAGTAATATAAATAAATTATAAAACACACTTAAAAATATTATTATTACAACAAAATAACTAAAATCACTATTTTTTTTTTAAATGTAAAATTTCATCAAAGTTTGAACATGAAATATCTATTAATAACAATTATTGTGCATTTGCATTTTTTCAATTTCAATTCTTTAGGTTTTGAGTAAAAAAAAAAAAAACAAAACTATATTGTATTACATTTTCAATGTGTAGCTAATTTGTACATTTTCTTTAGTCTTAAAAAATGTGATCTTCAATAATAAAACACTTAACAAAAAAAATTGTACCTGTATAATAATTTTAAATTTAAATATGAATAGCTTGTGCAAGATATTTGTTTAAATTTACAAACTTTTTGACCCAGCCAATCAATTTTTACAATATTTGAAGAATTAAATAAATAAATAAATATTTTATAAATTTAGTTCTGTATTGATAATCATAATTATTTTAGTCATAGTGAAATATTATTTAAAAAAAATAATTATAAAATTATGAATAACAACAAAATAACAAAAATTATTTGAGGAAAAATCATAATTGTAATTTCAAGAATACAGATTATCTTGAATTAATGTCGTCAAAATTGAACTTCAATCTCTTATAATACTTTAAACTTTAAATGCTTATAAAAAAGAATAGATAATGTATTTTTTGATATTTTTTTTGATATTTGTAAGAAAGACTTATGAGAAAATAACTTGTATTAAATTTGTATGATTTTTAACTTTCTATCAAACAAAATATTATCATGCATAAATCGATAACATTTCAAAAGTCTATAAATAGCATAAAAGCAGTGATAATATTTTGAAACTTATATCAAAATTATGAACTATCCTTGTATAAGTATTTGGTGAAAAAGTTTTTCATTTATAAATTAAACATAAAAAACATTTGATTTTCGTCGAAATATGAGTTTCCGAAAGAATTCTGGTTTTTACTATTGAGACATTTTTGGATTAACCTATCCTACCTATCAACTCTCTACGTCCTACTAAAGATCTCTCTCAAAGTTTAAGATTTGATTATTTTTACTGCTCCAAAAATACTATGGTCAAAGTAGACACAAAAAAAAAAACAAACCAATAACTCCACTCAGAATATAAAAGTGATTAAGACTAATAAAAATATCGAATTTGATTCTGTTGATTCGATTATTATTGATTGTCATATATTTCGTATATTTTTATTTTTGTAAAACTTAAGTTTATTTCCTTCCAAATCGTAATATAATACTTAAGAGGACGCTACACTCACATTCGTTGTCTCCGTCTTACAAGTGCGTAACATAGCAAATTGTAGGCTCCGCAGATCACGTTTATCTCCTTTAGTTTAACAGTTAGAGTAAATTGACCTCCTATTAAATTTAAAGGTAAGATTATTATCGAGAGCATCTCATATCCTTTTTATTATATTTTAATTTTAGAGCGAACTATTACTATTTTAAAATTGTAAATTGTTTGTAGGTACATCTTAAAATACACGATATTCGTTTTAAAATTAAAATATAATAAAATGCCTATCGAGATGCCCTCAACAATAATCTTACCTTTATATTTAATAAGAGGTCAATTCACTCTAACTTTTAAACTAACGGAAATAAACGTGATCTGCAGAGTGTAAAATTTGATATGTTACGCGTTTGTAAGACGGAGACAACACATGCGGGTGTGGCGTCCTCTTAAGGTATTATAATATGGTGGTGATTTCCGCTCACCACCATATGTGCTTGTGTATTCGACATAGGTACCTACAATAGGGGATTTCAACACACGAAATTGCAGACGAGATATGCGTGATACTGTTGCAAAGGTTCAAAATATTAAAATAAAAAATACTCATGGTATCTCTAGAACATTTTTAAGTTTACTACACCAATATAAAATATGCCTACCATATAAGTTTGTAGTTAGGTACCTAACCTAACCTATTATACAATGTAGGTACGTATATCAAATATTTTGCCACAATGATGTTAGCTATTCCTATACTGACATACCTATCCTTGACATAATATATCGTATTCCTAGTACTAAGAGTAGAGAGTGTGTGAAGAAGTTATTACGATCCGAAGATGAACTCATTAAAATATAAATATTTGTATTCTTCAACTTCAGATTTATAAATTATAAGAAGAATAATAATTATAATTATTCGGTGACATGATAAAACTTTAAAACTTTAACCGATGAGAGTGGTTCACGAATCAACAATTTTTAAGTTTCTTTATAACTCTTGTATGTAAATTCTTACAATTCTATAGAATTTCTATTAATTTTTGAAATAAAACTATATTACTGCAAATTTAGTAGGTAATAAAAAAATAATAAAAACGTGTATTTTTAAACAGTTCAAATTTTTAAATATATTTACTAGTTACAATGATATGAATAAAATATAAATTGAAACTATATTATAATTTATAATAAAATACACAGGAATACTATAGAAAAAAATGATGGGAATGTTAAAATAGACAAATGTATTTAAAGTTTATTGTTAAAAGTTAATTTTCTTTTAGATTCTGAGTGAAACGATGAATGTATTGATTTTACAATGAGGTGTGTTTTTTTTTAAATTTTAAATTTTTTTTAAATTTATTTTTATTTTTGTGTCTGTCATCACGTTTTAGGACAGTAAAAGTGCTTGGATTTTCATCAACAGTATCTTTTATGATAGGAAAGTGAATCTAGTTGGTACTTTGGGGGGTCAAAGGTCCCAGTAGTTTTCAAAAGCGGCGTGAAAAACAAAATAAAATTTAAGGAAAAACGAGAATTTTTACACTAAAATCTGTTTTCCAAAAAATAGATTTTGGTTTTTGGTGTAACTCTAAAACAAATGAACGTATATACATGACATTTTCACTGGTTGTTTATATTTGCATTTTCAATACACGATAACATTTTCAAAATATTTTGAATTATTTTGAACTGTTTAGGGACATTTTCATTTAAAATTTTATTTTAGTTTTTTTTCTAAAAATATCAATAAAATTTTATTTGTTGGTTGCGAAATCTTAAAATTTAATCGAAGGCCCCTAGATATTGTTTCAAAGGCAGATAAAAAATATTAAAAATCCTTAGTAACAATTTTTTTTTATAAGCATTTAAAGTTCAATTATTGACAAAATATGGAACAATCACGAAAATTAGCAAATTATTTTGTGTTAAGAATTCGTAAAAATTTTTCCTTTTTAAATCTAAGATTTGAAAATGTAATACAAGATTTCTTATAAGATTGTCTAACTTTATCAAAAAAAAATGTCTATATGAAATTTAAATTAAATTTTTATGAGCATTTGAAATTCAAATTTTTACAACATTGGATATTCACTCGATTTCTCATGTAGCGATTTCCTTATTTTGTTGTAATTCAAAAACGAATGACTGTAGATATATGAACATTTCACTGAATAATTATATTAGCATTTCCCATATACCATTACAATTTTGAAAATATTTTGACTCTTTTTGAGCTGTTTATGGACATTTTGAGTTTCCAATTTTTTGAGTTTTTTTTTCTATAAATACTAATTAAGTTTTATCTGTTGGGCCAAAAACTGTACAAATTTAATACAAGATTCCTGATATATTGTCACAATATCAGTTCAAAAACATTGAAAAATACATAGGCACAATTTTTTTTATAAGCATTTAAAGTTGGAATTTCGACAAAATGTATCAAAATCTCGAAAATTATCAATCATTGTAATTAATAAATTATAAAATGTTCAGTTTTTATAGCTAAAGATTGCAAATTTAAAACAAAGGTTCTCATAAATAGTTCATACTGTAACCAAAAATCTAAAAAATATATGTACACAGTTATTTTTTACAGACATTTTAAATTCAAATTTGGATCATATCTGATACATGAGATTTTAACATTCTTCCAATCATATTTGACTTCAAATATATGTTTATCAAGATGTTTGATAAAAAAAAATACTTTTTTACTACAAAAATATTTTATATTTTCTTAATCTTAACATAGTATAAAACAAAGTCCCGCGGTCTGTCTGTATGCCTGATCTTTAAAACTACGAAAGTAATTTTGATGGGTTTTTTTTTAGTTGATAGAGTAATTCAAGAGGAATGTTTATATTCACAATTGGATTCGTTAGGTCCAATCCAAGGAGGTGCTCAAACAAGAATTTTGAGATTTACGATGGAAATTTTTGTTTATAAATGGTTACTATTGGTTATAATTAGTATTTATTATTTTATTGGTTTCCATTGGTTATCGGGCAGAGCAGGTACAAGTATGTGTCAAACTGAATTTTCACGCATTGCCTACAAAGGTGGCTAAGTTGCACTTATAGCCGCGTGTCGTACATCGTGTCGTTGCCTACTTTATATATGCTGTCGCACATTGTCCGCCATCCGACATAGTCAGTTTTCCTACCAGGATCTATGAGTTGCACTTACTGCAACGAGTTACACCCAAAATGAGTTGAACAATCACGATTTGTTTAAGTTGTCACTCTTTACGGGCAACAAAGTGCGGGGGATCAGCTAGTATCTTATATTTTGTACTAGACAATTCACTGGTTATCACTTGTAAACTTTAGGAATTTACATAGTATAAAACAAAATTAAGATCTTATCTGTATTTATAATTATTATATATTATTTAACTGAAGAAATAAATGTACATTTGATAAAAACCCTTGATTGAATTAACAAATCTTAAAATAAATAAAAAAAACTTAATAAAAAATCTATATTTGATAAAAAGTCTATATTTAATCAAACACTATATTTGATAAAAAAATCTTGATCAAATTAAAAAAATCAAACAAATATTGATAGAAATTTTTAATAAATTAAGTTTTTTTTATCAAATATAGTTTTTTATTTTACATGGCCTTTTTTGTATTGAAATATAAATTATGAAAAATCTATATTTTATAAAATAAATCTATGGTTAATAAAAAAACCTATACTGAAGAAAAAAATGTATATCTATTTGATGAAAAAATCTTAAAATCTAAATTAAATACAAAATTCTGTGTTTAATAAAAAAAAAATTTATTGAATATACTTTTTGATTAATATAGACTTTTTTTTAAGATTTGTTTTATTCAATGAAGGTTTTTGTTTATTGAATATAGAGAATACAGTGACTACAGTGAATTATAAAGATTTCTGGAATTTGTAAGCTCATAACGTATTGAAAAGTTCCCAACATTTCGAATTAATAAGTCGAAATTTTGAGTTGATAATTCGAAATTTTGAAGATGACTATCATAACATACATATCATGGAGACAAAATTAACTTGTTATGTAGATAAGTACAGGTACAGGTACCTAATTTAATTAAAAGTAACTTAACTTTAACTCTTTAATTCGTTAATGCCAAACCTTGGCTTTAAGTAGGTATCTCATACGTTATACCTACAATCAACCTCGATATTTAGGGATTTTGTAGAAGCATAAAAATACGTTTCTGGATAATGATACGTGTTGATTAACAAATTTTGTTAAACTTGAATAATAAGTAATGACCGACGTCGACTCATCTACCTATGTATAATGTGTCAGCAGTGGCGGCGTGATAGGGTGTTTCGTGAGGCAATTGAGGCTAACCTAACCTAACCTACTCTTGTAGTCATGACAGTCGTCAGTCATATGCAACAAGTTTTATATGCTGAAATGTTATACGACGTTTCATACTTTCATATATGAATAACAATAGAACTTCACTGTATGGTATGGTAAATAATATAAAATATTAAAATACACGCAACACGCGTGTCCTGTTCACATGGCTTCACGAAATTCAATATAACATGACAAATCTCAAGTCTTAAGAAGCGCCTTACAAGTTCGTGTTTGAGGTTGTCAGAAAGTTTTGAGTTATTCTTGTTAATCACTTATAGTGACGGCAATGTTCACAGGTACAATATCACTAATGTTTGCACTGATAGTTTTTAGTGAAATGTCAGCAGACAGTTTAATTATAGTTCATTAATCACCTTCGACTTTTCTACTTTTTAAACTTGATCCTTAGACTTACGTTTATCGAATTTCCAATCTTCGATTTATTGCAATAAACTGCTCGTTTGGCACACGCAAAATTATTTTCAGTAATAGTTAGAATACAAAGCTGTGAGCTGGTGTAACATAATAATATATTAGTTACAATGTTGATGGTGAAATAAATAAAAAGCTTAATGGCTTATAAATTACAAAATAATTTTGGATAAGCAATTTTTGGTTTACAAAGTAAATAAATAAAATATGAATGTAAATTTAATTTTACTTAGGTACAATTTTAAACGATGTACATTATATTTGTATGACTGTTATGTATAATATTGTCATATCTTGTCGTAGAAGTTATAAAAAAATCGTTTTTCATTTAAATTTAATAAGTATTAATTAATATAACATATTTTTGATTAGGTATAACTACCAATCTAGTATCTACACATTTTTAAATTTGAAATCGACCCAATTGATGTAATAAAAACTTGAGTAAGTAAATATAAGTATTATTTTGAAAAAGTATAGAATAATATTATATTATAATATCAAGTATCAACATTATAAAGGTAGGTATGTATACCAAGCTTACAAATTTTCAGATACAATAATAACACTAGATAATAAAATAGTTCAATTCACAAATAAATGGTAACTTATTTTTACAGTAGTTGTATTTTGTACTCTTGGGTGCTAAGGTACTGCCTAGAGTTTTAGTTTGGTATACATCAAGTCAAAGTAGTCCATCATAATACCCATTTGAAACGTGTATTAGCCATTAGGTATAAGATAATATATAAAAATATTCATTACATTTAATGTGGATTTCAAATAATAATTTAAAAACAAATTTTGAATATTATTTGTAAGTATTACTTAAGTACCTACCTAGTATCTATGGATATTATAAAAGTCTTGCATAGATCCGTCACGAGTCATGGGAGTCTGTGAATTATTGTGGAAGACCGGATCTAGTACTAGCTACTCTCTAGTAGCCACTAGCCAGTAGGCAATGTTTCTATTTTAATGATTTATTTCTTACACAATTTTAACTTTATCAATAAATTGATTATAATTTCAATCAATAACTTAACTAATACCTAAATTTTAAAATATGTGTGTATTTAACTTGAGTAAACTGAGGTAGTCAGGTAGCTCAACTAATTGAAATGCACAACAAATATGACAAAATAAATTACTAGCTTATGGCTAGCTACAATTACTAGGTAATCGTGAACATCGCAATTATATTAATGCGATTAGACGACGACTATATTATTATGTTTGGACACAAAATAATCCATACATATGTATTTAAAATAAATTAAATAAATTAAATACTATTTTCTTCTTTTCGTATTGTAAATAATAGTTTCTTACCTATTGGCTATTATAATAGGTATTTATTTGATATTTGTATTTAGTTCGAAATATTCAGTAATTTAAATAAATATGTCCTTGTTTGTGCACATTTTTCAATTCCAAATGGCCACTGTTGATTTTGAGCACATTCGGTTACTTCAAAATTGTTTAACGTGGCATTTGTTAGAGGAAATTACGATAGTATAAAACATACAGTATAATACATTATACCAATAGCCAATGTGTATATAATGCTTCATCGCAATTGATGCTTATATATTTATTTTTATTTTTTTATATTCATTAAACAATAACTTCTATAAACATAGAATATAGGTGGGGTTTCGGTCGGTTTCGTGTTCCTTTTTAATTTATTATATACAACTGCGACACCCGATGATATTTTATATTTTATTTTTGTTTAAAGGCATTGGAATTGAGCCCAAATGACAAAACTGCTTTGGTTTCTAGAAGCAAGTGTTATCTACTTCTCGGACAACCGCGTTTGGCATTGAAAGACGCCGAAGTGGCGTTAAACGAGGATAGCACATATCTGAAAGGTATCGTAAGAAAATTATAACTAATAAGTAATAACTAAGTACCAACTTACCTACCTAAATGTAGAAGAAAAAAAATTTGTTCTTTACCAACTACTCGCAGTTTGAAGCTCAAATAATATTTATCAGTACTCAAGATTGGAAAATCATAAAAGAAAAATAGGATAGGAATATTAACTATAAATTACATACCAATAGAATAATATGTATAGTATATATTATTATTTTATTAAAAATAACTGTGGTATTAATAAAATGGGAAATATGCTGAAAAACAAAATATAAATAATACGATACCCCGTGAAAAACATCATCAAAAAGGTGCTCTGCTGTACGGTAACTGTATAATGGATGGTATTAAATTTGAATTCAATGATATAATATCATTGTACAAGAAAAAAGATTATGAGCGGAGATGGTATGTCAGTCTAGGTATAAAACATATTATATACATATCTATGGTATTAAAAAAAGTTGACCTATAATAGGTACCTATAATAAATTCCAAATTAATCATATCACAATATCTATTAGGTACTTACTTATAACGCGTTATACATCAACAACAAACCCTGATACTATCACAGATATATAATAGTGTGCTTAAGAAGTTTCAAGTACCCACGAATAATATTATACAATCACAACAAAATAACTAAAATAGTTATTCTAGGTTTTTTATTATGTAATTTCGTCCAAATTTGAACTTAAAATGACTGTAAAAATAAACTGTGATTATGTATTTTTTAGATTTTTTTGTAACAGAATTAACTACTGACGTGGAATCTTGTTTTAAATTTTCAATCCTTAGATATAAAAGTTGAACATTTTATAAATTTTTACCTACAAAATAATTATTCAATTTAAAATTTGATAAATTTTGTCAAAATTCGAACTTTAAATGCTTATAATAAAAATGTGTACCTTTATATTTTTTATATTTTTCAATTGCTATTGTAACAATATATCAGGAGCATTGTATTAAATTTGTACACTTTTTGGCAAAACAGATAAACCTTTATTGATATTTATAGAAAAATTAAACTAAAAATATTGAAAACTGAAAATGTCTCTAAACAGCTCAAAAAGAGTCAAAATCTTTTCAAAATTGTAAGGTATATAGAAAATATAAAAATTATATATATAAATTATTATATAATATAAAAATTTAATTTGACTTTCTTATAGATATTTTTTTTTTGATAAAGGTAGATAATCTTATACGGAATCTTGTATTACATATTAAAACCTTAGATTTAAAAAGAAAAATTTTTATGAATTCTTAACTCAAAATAATTTTCTAATTTTCGTGATTTTTCCATATTTCGTCAATTTTTAAACTTTAAATGTTTATAAAAAAAAACTATGACTAAGGATTTTTAATATTTTTTATCTGCCTCTGAAAAAATATACTAGGAGCCTTGTATTAAATTTCCAAGTTTTTTTAACCCAAAAAAAAAACTAAAAAAAAATGGAAAATTTGCCTGAATAGTTCAAAATAAATCAAAACATTTTGAAAATGTTAGCGTGTATAGAAAATGTTAATATAAACATTTAGTTAAAATTTCATGTATCTACGGTCATTTGTTTAAGAGTTGCACCAAAAACCAAAATCGATTTTTTCAAAAACAGATTTTAGTGTAAAAATTCTCGTTTTTCCTTAATTTTTATTTTGTTTTTCACGCCGCTTTTGAAAACTACTGGGACCTTTGACCCCCCAAAGTACCAACTAGATTCACTTTCCTATCAGAAAATGTACTGTTGAAGAAAATCCAAGCACTTTTACTGTCCTAAAACGTGATGACAGACACAAAAATATAAAAATATAAAAAAAAAAAAACACACATCATTGTAAAACCAATACATTCATCGTTCCACTCAGAGTCTAAAATGTATTTGTGGATAAATTGGCTCTTATTGCTACTTTATACAATTACTTAGGAAAATAAAATACCGACTTTAAATAATTGAAAATAAAATATATACATAGGTAGGTACTTAAGTTATAAAAGAAAAACGTGTCATACATTTTAGAAAATATAAAAACTCATTCAAATATATAAAAAATTAAGAAACAGGAACCTAAAATGTTTACTAAGCTACACAAAATATCCAAAAATATGGATTTAAATTCTCATTTTTAATTCGTCATTCCAAAGAATAGGTTTCTAGTTTGATACACCTTGATCTGCTGTAAATCTAGATTCAAGAGTATATAGAAAAATATGTAAATAGTTATAACTCATAACTCATGCCTTACCTAACCTATGATATTTTTTAATACGTTTAACAACTACCTACATAGATTTACAACTATATACATAATAATATACAGTGGTGCCAGACTAAATTAAATACCAACTGATGCACCTCATTGGTGTCTAGGCAAGTTGGCGTAAATAACTGGGTTGATTTTTAGATCCACGACTCCCACATTTATTTAGATGAGATGACCCCTTAGCAATATTACATAAGTATGTGTATAGTATAATATTTATAATCGAATAAATTAAATCTTTATGCTTAGGCAATTTTATATTTATTTAATATTAAATATAAGAACAGCTAGGTTGCAAACCGGTAGTGTTTAGAGTCTTGATAATAAAAATCTTTCAAAATTTAATTTAAAATGTTTAAAATACATTTTATGTTAATATAATACTTGTGGGATAGTGGGGAACATTTTTTAATTATAAACTGAAGGGCTAGTTATTTTGTTTAACTATAGGCTCTTAAATTTCCTCTACTCGCCACTGCAGTAATGTATACGTATAAAATGTATATGTATGAAAAAATGATTTCTTGTTATACGTTTGAGAATTAGGATCGTTATAATATTTTACATGTCACAATATAATAATATATGAATTTAGTATACGTAATAATAGTAAGTTTGTACTTAAATTATTTAAATACTTATAAAGTACTCTATTGCACCTAATTATATTATATATTATGTATATTCTGTTAATTATTCTTTTAATGTGCAGGTACCTATAAAATAAAACTACACAAAAGCTATAATTGGTGACCTCTAAACTAAGTTAACTCGTAACTATATATGACGCTTTGGTAAAATTTTTATTAGCGTTTTTAATGGATTCAAATAGTCCTTAATAGTTAATAGTATCGTCAAATTAAGTATAAATCTCTGATAATGATACAACGCTATAGCCTATAATTAATAATAAATAAAAATATCTTCAAATAAGTGTTTCAAATCTAAAATCACTCCCACCTCCTCTGCTCTCCAAGTTTGAGAATCTCTCCTATAGAGTATGGATGACACTGTATAAATTAGAACACACTACACTATGTAATATAAACATATATTATATAATATTATTTTCTTTCTGTGTTTTACAGCCATATATCAGAAAGCGGAAGCACTGTACCATCTCGGCGATTTCGAACACAGTCTCGTGTTTTACCACAGAGGACTCCACGTTCGACCGGAACTCGAACAATTCAGGCTGGGAGTGCAAAAAGCCAGAGAAGCTATCGAGAATGCCATTGGTAAGTCTAATGACCATCCAATTATACTCATTTTAAAATTGTAAATTGTTTGTAATCATAAAAACTCATAACTCACTTTAAAATAAAATATTATAATACAGAGACGATGGGATTGCCTGGATACAAATATTATCTTTAAACCTTATAAGAGAAATTACCTCTAATTTTTAAACTTACAGAGTTATACATGTTCTGCTGAGTGTGCAATTTACTATGTTATACGCTATTGTAAGACGGAGACAGGACATGCGTTTGTCACGTAGTTTACATGTATTTTTAAAAAGTTCTTACATAAACTTAGATAAATTCTAATTTAATTCCAAATTAATTTAATAAAAGAAAATTAAGTGTAGAATAATGTTTTTTGTTTGGTTCATACCATTTTTCGAGGCTTGAAAATTCGGTTACCGTGTCCGGTAGGACTCAACATTTTTTTTTAAGTGGTTACCGGTGACCAAAATGATCTCTAAATGTGTAGTTACCGGTTGTTATCGGTTTGGAAGTGGTTTTAATTCTTCAAGATTACCGGTAACCACTTCGGAAACAGTTTTTTGCATTTATGTTTTTTTCTGAAAATTTTAGTTATACTTTAATTTACATAAAGCAAATATCCTGTTTATTAAATTGTTCAGGACAAGCTAAATCAAATAATAAATACCTATATAGCTATATTTTATAATTTGAGGCTATAGATAAATTTCCAAAAAAAAAAAAAGGTGCTTTGCTAACTGCTTTACAGTAGGTTACAAGTGGGTCACTGTATAATGGATAGTATTAAATTGGAATTCAATGATATAATATCATTGTATAAGAAAAACGAATCTGAGCGGAGACGATATGTCAGTCTAGGTATAAAACATACTATATACTTATCCATGGTATTAAAAAATTGACCTATAACAGGTACCTACAATAAATTCCAAATTAATCATATCACAATATCCATTAGGTACTTATAACGCGTTATACACCAAAAACAAACCCTGATACTATCATAGATATATAATAGTACACTTTAGAAGTTTCAAGTACCCACGAATAATATTATACAATCACAAAAAAATAACTAAAATAGTTATTCTAGGTTTTTTTAATATGTAATTTCGTCCAAATTTGTATTTAAAATGTCTGTAAAAAATAACTGTGTTCATATATTTTTTAGATTTCTTGGTTACAGTATGAACTATTTATGAGAACCATTGTTTTAAATCTGCAATCTTTAGCTACAAAAACTGAACATTTTATAATTTATTAATTACAATGATTGATAATTTTCGAGATTTTGATACATTTTGTCCAAATTCCAACTTTAAATGCTTATAAAAAAAATTGTGCTTATGTATTTTTAATATTTTTCAATTGCTATTGTAACAATATATCAGGAGCCTTGTATTAAATTTGTACACTTTTTGGCCCAACAGAAAAAACTTGATTGATATTTATAGAAAAAAAAACTAAAAAAATGTAAAACTGAAAATGTCCGTAAATAGCCTAAAAAGAGTCAAAATATTTTCAAAACTGTATTGGGTATAGTAAATGCTAATATAAACATTTAGTGAAATTTCCATGTATCTACAGTTATTCGTTTTTGAATTACAACAAAATAAGGAAATCGCTACATGAGAAATCGAGTGAATATCCAATTTTGTAAAAATTTGAATTTCAAACGCTCATAAAAATTTAATTTGACTTTCTTATAGACACTTTTTTTTGATAAAGGTAGATAATCTTATGAGGAATCTTGTATTACATTTTAAAATCTTAGATTTAAAAAGAAAAATTTTTACTAATACTTAACTCAAAATAATTTGCTAATTTTCGTGATTTTTCCATATTTTGTTAATTTTTGGACTTTAAATACTTATAAAAAAAAACTGTGACTATAAGGACTTTTAATATTTTTTGTCTGCCTTTGAAACAATAAACTAAAAGCCCTCTATTACATTTTCAAGCTTTTTTAACCAACCAATAAAATTGTATTGATATTTATAGAATAAAAAACTAAAAACATTGGAAACTGAAAATGTCCCTAAATAGCTCAAAAGAAGTCAAAATATTTTTAAAAAGTCATGGTGTATAGAAAATGCTAATATAAACATTTAGTTAAAATGTCATGTATCTACGATCATTTGTTTTAGAGTTACACCAACAACCAAAACCGATTTTCTCGAAAACAAATTTTGCGTAAAAATTCCCGTTTTTCCTTAATTTTTCTTTTGTTTTTGAAAACTACTGAGAAATTTTTACTTTTGACCACCCAAAGTACCAACTAGATTCACTTTCCTATCAGAAAAGATACTGTTGAAGAAAATCCAAGCACTTTTACTGTCTTAATAGGTGATGACAGACACAAAAAAAAAAAAATTAAAAAAACACACATCATTGTAAAATCAATACATACATCGTTTCACTCTTAATCTAAAAATATATAAAAATATCAAATTATAATAAAACGTTAATTTTTTTGAAATTTCCAGTTTTTTTAAAAAAAGGTTACTGCTACACGTTTTTCCTTGGTTGAACTTGGTTACCGGTAACTGTTAATCACTATTCTCAAAATGTAAGCTTAAAAACCAGGAAGCGATTTCCAGACCCAAAATTGGTCAAGGGTAGGTAACCATTTTCAAGCCCAGCTTTTTTTTATAATATAGTACCTATACCTATCCTATCTATATATTTTATATGTTAAATTGTATATTTTTTTTCGAACTATACTAATATCTCACAAGCCATGCAATTATAAATAAAATCACTGCGTAGGAAAAATGAAAGACACCGCCGTCGTCATGCAGCAGGTCGGCTGGGGAGACAAGCGCCAAGCGACCACAACCGGAACAGTGAACGGAGGTAGTGGTGGGGTCGGCGGTAGCAGAGGTTCGACACCTGCCGTGACGGGATCGTCGACGAGGCGCAAAGACGCAGCGGCGTCGGCGGCCACCACTAAAAGCCAATCGAAAATGTTGCTCAGGGAATTGTGCGTGGACAAGGACTATCTAGAACATTTGACGATAGATCCAAGTAATATAATTATTACTATAGAGCTGAAATTGTTATGCTATGGATATTCATCATAATATATACCTAGGTGGAATATGAGTGAAAACCTTTAGGTTATTTTGATTATTTTTTCAAGGGTATTCATTCGAGGGTATTGATTACAGCCTTAATTTTTATAAATATGACAAAAAAACGATGACATCATAATATTATAATATATCGAATGACCTCCGAAAAAATCAATAATTTACTATGCAATTATTGTTAATTAGGTAACCTACCTATTATCGTATTTATTTAGCACTACAAATAATTATCGGTTTCTGAACAGAAGAGTGTCAGACCGGATAGCCATTTATAATAATATTTATATTAAACATTATATTATATTAATCATTTTATTAATTATTAATAGTGAATAATTATAACATTATATATTTTCAAAAGTGTGCACAGCGAAAAAACATATCTTCTAACAATAATAAAATCTAATAAATTATGTAAATATTAATTCTTAAAAAATACAATAGGTAGGTTAGGTACCTGTACTGTTTAATGTAATGATTTTAAGAAAGCTATACTTATGTGTAATCTAAATGTATTAAATAACCTATACAGATAGAATGATATAAATAAATATAGTAAAAATGTCAAGTCGACTGTCGTTACCACGTCAATATATACCTATATAGAAAGTATACATAATAATTGCCATTTATACACATTACACATTTACACCTTGACCATTGCATCCCAAAAATATTGAATGGGTGTAGACTGTACTAATATAATTATTAATTATTCTTCTACACATTCAATTCTTCAGACTACAATATTATAATTTTAATAACTATCTGCGTTATAAATTGGTCTGGCGTGCTAATAATAAGTCATAATTGTTTTGCTTTTTGTACAGATATTGTGAGTGCCATTCAAGAAAACGACAACTATATACTGTCTGAAGCGAAAGATGGCATTAGTTTTTTGAACGGCAGAGAAGAATTCTGGAAACAACAAAAACTTATTAACTAGATTTATTAAAATAAATTCTAAAACAAAATATATTACATTTATACATAATCAGTTTAGAACAAAATTACATTTGACAGGAAATTTTTTATTTAATCTACTAGGTACATTATACTTGTTATAAATTTAAAGGTAAATAAACTCATTTAATGCAACATTTTTTAACTAGTTTTTTTTAGTTTAAGATTTAATCGGAGCGAGGAATGAATTAGTTTTACAATGATGTTTTTTTTAAATACAGCTGGTACTTATTAATTTACAAGTCGAAACAAATTTATTTTTTTAAATATTTTTTAACTTTTTTTATTTTAGATTCTGAACTTAGAGATGAATGGTATTGGTTTTACAATGATATGTGTTTTTTCCGCCTGTCATCGACTTTTGGGGTAAATATACATTAAAAGTATGCTTCTATTTTTTACTTCAGTATCTTTTCTGATAGAAAAGTGAACTTAGTTGCTGTATTAAAGAGGTCAAAATTGTTTTTTTTTAGTGTACCTACCCTGATAATAACCACTGATAGGTACTTTAAATTTTCATCAAATTTTAATACAACAATATTCCATACATGATACAGTTTTCTTTAATTCTTTAATAAGTGTTAAATGTTAAATGTTATAACAGTATATTGCTTCATTCTCATCAGAATGTAATTTTGGACAATGTATGCTATTAATGTATTAATGTATGCTCAAAACATGGAAATTCAAACCTATAAGCCGGCTCGGATCGTAGTTCGTAGGCTGTGACTCAAGTTGCCTTGGTATCATATAGTATCATAGACGTGCCGACGTGCGGTGGAAATGGCGATATATGGTACAGTGTGGGGCGCGTCATTGATACCATTTATACAGAGATTAGAGCGTTCAAACAAACAAACAAACTTTTCAGCTTTAGAATATTAGTATATAGATAGATAGGTAGGTACTTTAAAAGTATATAATATACATACTTTAAATTATTGGAGCAAACCAATTGATATTCAATATAATATACCTAATTAAAATACTAGCTGATCCCGTGCACTTCGTTTCCCTAACTTTGTTCAATTCGTTATTTAATATTCGTTGTATGGTGTTCAAAATTTATCTTAACTCTTCTGTTGCCTAGGATTAAAATTCTGATTCATAGCAGTATATTATCAGGTAGGCAACCTACTTGCGGTAGATCGCGGACCCCGCGCTGTTTGTACGTAACTTTATAATTTAACATTTAACTATAAGTCTCTAAAGTATCAAAGTTATACCAAGTATGTCACTGAACTCCTCCTAAACGGCTGGACTAATTGTGAATGCCGAGTCTGTCGACCAATATTTCCTCCTTGATGCATCCACGAAGACGTGGCATTGTTTTATGTAGGTAACTTATATGTGAGTATAATACGCTCAATAATTACGTAATTGCGAAACACATAATATCAAAACACAGCGTTCAAAAAAATTAAATGCATTGAACGAATACACTGATTTCACGGTGCGCAACGCTACTTGACTGCCACACTTTTCGAGGTATAACATCACTTTTAGGTTTTTTTTAACGAAATCCTCTTTAGTTGTCACTCGCTCGGTGTGAGGCGATCGGATAAAAAAACCAACTTGGGTAGGCCTAGGTTTACCTCAAAAATTCCTGGAAACTTACCGTTTAAAAGTTATGGAAGTTCAAAGTTGCAGTGAGTACGCGTGTAATGGCACTTCGGTCGGCAAATCGAAAATATCAACCGACTTGCTACACAACAGCACGTTACAGGGTAAGTTTAGTTATGTCGTACTATATGGGCAGTGATTACACAATTACACATTCAAAAAAAAAAAGGTTAGTCCAGTCGCCTAATACGAGTTCCTCCGAGGAGCAAAAGTATTGTTCCGCGTATACGTAAAATCGCAAACTTTGGGTGGCTATTACTTAAAAGATAATGGTATCCAGAAAAAAATTCAAACACTTTCGAAATCAGTGTCAAAAAACACGTCTTTAAAAAAATAAAATTGAAATTCATTAGGAGTGTGATAAAGTGCATTTTAGATTTTGTTACTCTTGTGTGTATTATGATTTCTTTTCCTTTTTTTATTATGTTTGTGTTTTTATAAAAAAAAAATGTTTATATTATATTAGCACTATTATTATTGGCGTATTATAAAACCGGACTCGACAAGAAGAATAAAATGAGCTCTAATATTTACTACGATACAGTAAACACCAATGGTTTCTCTAACAGTAACGCGATGAATACTCTATATAATATGTCACTAGTCCGTTCAATACTTGAATACGCTTCTATTATTAAGTCACCCCATCAACAATTACATATTAATCGAATAAATAAAGCACAAAATAAATTTATAAAAAGGTGGGCAAGTGGGTGTCGCTCTGCTGTACAGTAGGTTACAAGTGGATCACTGTATAATGGATGGTATTACATTTGAATTCAATGATATTATATCATTATATAAGAAAACGATTCTGAGCGAAGACGGTATGTCAGTCTAGGTTTAAGACATATTATATACATATCTATGGTATTAAAAAAAAATTGACCTATAATAAATTCCAAATTAATCATATCACAATATCCATTAGGTACTTATAACGCGTTATACATCAACAACAAACCCTGATACTATCATAGATATATAACAGTGTGTCAGTGTACTTAAGAAGTTTCAAGTAATCACGAATAATATTATTCAATCACAACAAAATAACTAAAATAGTTGTTATTCTAGGTTTTTTAATATGTAATTTCGTCCAAATTTGAATTTAAAATGTCTGTAAAAAATAACTGTATTCATATATTTTTTGGATTTTTGGTTACAGTATGAATTATTTATGAGAACCTTTGTTTTAAATTTGCAATCCTTAGCTATAAAAACTGAACATTTTATAACTTATTAATTACGATGTTTAAAAAAATTTGAGATTTTGAAAAATTCTGTCAAAATTCGATGTTTAAATGCATATAAAAAAAATTGTGCGTATGTATTTTTAATATTTTTTAATTGCTATTATAAAAATATACCAGGAGCCTTGTATTAAATTTGTACACTTTTTGGCCAACAGATAAAACTTAATTGATATTTATAGAAAAAAATACTAAAAAAATTGAAAACTGAAAATGTCCGTAAACAGCTCAAAAAGAGTCAAAATATTTTCAAAATTGTACAGTGTATAGGAAATGCTAATATTAACATTCAGTGAAATTTTCATGTATCTACAGTTATTCGTTTTTGAATTACAACAAAATAAGGAAATCGCTACATGAGAAATCGAGTGAATATTCAATGTTGTAAAAATTTGAATTTCAAACGCTCGTAAAAATTTAATTTGACATCCTTATAGACATTTTTTTTTTTTGATAAAGGTAGATAATCTTATGAGGAATCTTGTATTACATTTTAAAATCTTAGATTTAAAAAGAAACATTTTTACGAATTCTTAACTCAAAATAATTTGCTAATTTTCGTGATTTTTCCATATTTTGTCAATTTTTTAACTTTAAATGCTTAGAAAAAAAAACTGTGACTAACGGTTTTTAATATTTTTTATCTGCCTCTGAAAAAATATACTAGGAGCCTTGTATTAAATTTCCAAGTTTTCGCAACCAACAAATAAAATTTTATTGATATTTTTAGAAAAAAAACTAAAAAAAAATGGAAAATGAAAATGTCCCTAAACAGTTCAAAATAAATCAAAAAATTTTGAAAATGTTATTGTGTACAGAAAATGCAAATATAAACAACTACTGTAAATTTCATATATCTACGGTCATTTGTTTTAAAGTTACACCAAAAACCAAAATCGATTTTTTCGAAAACAGATTTTGCGTAAAAATTCCCGTTTTTCCTTAAATTTTTCTTTTGTTTTTCCCGGCGCTTTTGAAAACTATCGGGAAATTCAAATTTTGACCTCCCCGATGCACCAACGATATTCACTTTCCAATCGAACAAGATACTGAAGTTGAAAATCGAAGCATTATTTCAACTACTTATGTCTTATCGTGTACACAGACACAAAAAAAAAATAAAAAAAACACACATCATTGTAAAATCAATACATTCATCGTTTCACTCAGAATCTAAAAACGACTCTACTTAAACGTATGACAAAAATTGTTAAAATTATATTAGTAAATAATTTAAGATTTAAGGGAGCTGCACCGTAGCATATTGTAAGGAGTACTATTTAGGCAATTCATGTGACATATAAATTAATACTGTATCTGTGTGGGACGGTGTTTCCGAATTGCGGACAAAGTGACAAAAACCATGTGAGTTGCGGACTAAATCTAAAAAGGTAACATACTAATTGCGGACACAAATATAAGATAGTAATTGCGGATAACGTTACTATATTCAGGTGGTGAAATCAGTTGAATATCATATATATACAGGCTGTTTTAAATACTATGACGATACCTAATTAATAATGACGATAATCTATAAATATTCTATAAACAATTTTTAACACAAAATTAAAACAATCTATATTTCAACAACATTTTAAAAATAGCGATTGCTCTTTTGCAAGACACAAATATTTTTAACCCCACCTACCAATTTTTTTTTTTAGCTATTGTCATAAGTCCTGAAAAGGTGGTGAAGGGAAATATTTGTGTCCACAACTAACGTAGTTTTTATTAAAAAAAGCTCTGTACTCAATGAGTATTATGACAACGAAACTCGTGTCCGCAATTGTTATATTATAATTCCTAACCTGAATAATTCGTCCGCAACTAGTATGTGTCCGTGTGGGAGTAGTAAATGAACATTAGTGTGCGTAATCCGTTATCGTTTCCGAGAATCGCTGCACGTCGAGTCGGGCAACCGCGGTGGAAGCAACTCTCACATGAATGTTTTAGTTATTTTAATAATGCATAGGTACTAACTACCAATATTCAGAAAACAATTCCACAAGTAGGTATAAGGAAATATAAAAATCAAATATTATATTTAAAAAATAAGCTGTAAGTTTAATTATAATATATCATTCTTGATGATTAATTTTTAATATAAATGAACACAATTTAATTAGGTTGTTTTGAATTTGAAATTAATTTTTAATGCGAAAGGTCGCATGTGTCAAGGCAGTTGTGTGTATGTTGTTTTCTTCAAAATATTATTGTACTTGATGTTCTTTCTAATTGGCAATTGCATCTGAAAAAATTGTTTTTAACTTTTATTTAATTTAAATGTTTAAATATATTATTTGTTCGTAGCTAAAACAATATGGTATTATAATTTATATTTAATATTTGTTGTACACAGATAACATTTAATTTATGTTAGAAACCTATTTATGTTATTCACAGATTAAATTAATTTTTAGTACCTACACATTGTAAATAAGTTACTTTCCTCCATCAGGACTATAATATGCGATTGGAGTTAATTAAATTGGTAAATTTAGTACCATTATTGTGATTTTTGTCAGGTATTAGTAATTTTTAATTAAGGGGGCTGCAACGTAGCATATTTTAAGTAGTACTATTTAGGCAATTCATGTGACATATAAATTAATACTGTTATGTGTGAGTAGTAAAATTGAAAATTGAAAATCGACTTCCTAAGAAGCCTAGATATTTTATCAATGAATTCAAACATGTGTAAAAAATTTAAATCGGACATTCCGAAGTATGTGTAATTTACCACTGCTTATTGGTCTAAAATACGTGCGCTGCAACCCCCTTAATATTATGCTAAATACCATTTTATTTTATTAAGACGTGATCAATTTACAATCGTATTGTGTTTAACAGAAGCTAATCATCACCTAATTCTCTCAAATTATTTGGATTTATATTTTAATTATACTTCTGCATATATTGCATATATGTAGTTAATTAGAGTTAAAAAGTAAGTTTGATTTTAAATTATATTCGTAATATTCTAGTAAAATAACGAGAGAATTATTTTAATTTGAGAGAGTTTTTTAATCAAAAATATAAACAATACAAAAATTGTAGAAAATAATAACCAAAAGTACAATTTACAATTATTAATAATGTAATAGTCTTTAAGTCCAAAATTGTATTATAATTTATAACAATACCTGAATAAATATGTACTAATATTTTTACATAATTATTATGGATCCACATAAATCCGTAAAGTTACTGGCTTACCTACCACTCCACGACGCGACGGTTTGATACATTATTTAGGAAGGTCAAAAATTCCGGAAAATGTATAGGCGGAAAGTATAAATTCTGGAACGTATTAAATGTCTGGTATCTAAAAACCTAAAACAAGATTTGGCCAGAATATATAATTCCGGAATATTTTAATTCCGAAACGTATATTCATCCAGACTGTATAAACCCGGAATGAACTTGTCTATATCGTATTATATGACCGGAATATAAAAAAAATTGTCCGGAACGTATATTTCCGGAATTTGTATTCAAATATAATCCCGGGAATTAATTACCCGGACTGTATATTCCAGAAACTTAAAACCTATAATGGATCGATAATATAGAATTTCAAAAAGGTTAAGGGGATTTTGATGACTTTACCGCACGGCACTTTTTGAGATTTCAGTGCAGGCGTGACAAAAAATGATGTAACCAAACGTTTATGTAATTATGTCTTGTAAGGATCGTGATATAAAATGCATTATCTGGTTGTGCAAGGAATACGCGTGATATGCGCTTTTTACAGCCGGCTGAACGGAATAAGGTAACTTTCCAACGCTTTAATAGTTATTGAAAACTAAAATATCGGTGTAGGCGTGACACAAAATTATTTACATCTAATTTTAATAGAATAAGTGCACTTTTATAGTCTCTGGTAATAACAACAACCTTCCTTTAGTTTTCAAAATATTATAGTATGATATTATTATATTAATCTCTCAACATTCACTGAATATGGTTTAGCCGGAACTAGGAAGGCAAAAATATTACACAAAAATAAAATATAAATTGATGTAGGTATTATGCAGCATAATAAAGGACAACACTTTTTATTCATTTAAGAGAATACAAATCATACTACATAAATAATAAACGGTTTCCAACCTCCATATTAATTTAACTTTTTTAAAAATAATTACTAATGCAATATCCCACATGATAGATATATTATACATATCGAAAAAAGTAATACAAATAAAACTTTGACTTAAAAAGCCTAAAAGGATCTAATAAATAAAAAATGCCAAACAATTTTAAATTAAAAGTTTCTAATGGAAATTCAAAATATGTGTCAGGGAGATATGTCTTATCTTACTGTAAGCTAAGAATAATTATTTTTCTACAAATTCACAGTCCTAGTAAATAGTGATAATAATATATATATATCAATAACATATATATAAATATTAAAAAAAGAATAATAATAATAATTATTATTCATTTAAATTAATGAAAAAAGTGACAATACTACAATAATGATAGGGTAGTAACCTGCAGGTAGTTAATTATTATTTTATGACATCTATTTACTAGTTAGTAGTTACTATTTACTTTACGCAGAATAATATAATATTATATACGAATACCAGAATACAGGTACGTTCAGGGGCGGACTGGCAGGGAGGGAAAGTGGTCATACCCACCCAGGCCCTCTAGAAATTTTATTCTTTTTTTTTATTTTTTTATTTTATTTTTTTCGGAGTTATACATTTATTATTTTTAATAATTTTTCAATTCCACACCATAATCATTATCGTGAAAACGAAGAATATAATATTACAACACCATTTACAAAAAGGTGCTCTGCTGTACTGTAGGTTATAAGTGGGTCACTGTAATACTGTATAATGGGTGGTATTAAATTTGGATTCAATGATATAATATCATTGTATAAGAAAAACGATTCTGAGTGGAGATTCTCTTTGGCCCAACAGATAAAACTTTATTGATATTTATAGAAAAAAAAACTAAAAAAAAATTGAAAGCTGTAAATTGTCCGTAAACAGCTCAAAAAGAGTCAAAATATTTTCAAAATTGTATGGTATATAGGAAATGCTAATATAAACATTCAATGAAACTTTCATGTATCTACAGTTATTCGTTTTTGAATTACAACAAAATAAGGAAATCGCTATATGAGAAATCGAGTGAATATCCAAAGTTGTAAAAATTTGAATTTCAAACGCTCATATAAATTTAATTTGACTTTCCAGTAGAGATTTTTTATTGATAAATGTAGATTAACTTATAAGTAATCTTGTACTACATTTTCAAATCTTAGATTTAAAAAGAAAAATTTTAACTCAAAATAATTTGCTAATTTTCATGATTTTTCCATATTTTGTAAAATTTTTGAACTTTAAATGCTTATAAGAAAAAATTGGGACTAAGGATTTTTAATATTTTTCATCTGCCATTGAAACACTATACTAGGAGCCTTCTATTAAATTTTCAAGCTTTCGAAACCAACAAATAACATTTTATTGATATTTTTAAAATAAGAACTAAAAAAGAAATGGAAAATCAAAATCTCCCTAAACAGTTCAAAACAAATCATAATATTTTAAAAATTTTATCGTGTATAGAAAATGCGAATATAAACAACCAGTGAAAATTTCATATTCGTATATACGTTCATTTGTTTTAGAGTTACACCAAAAACCAAAATCGATTTTTTAGAAAACAGATTTTGCTTCAAAATTCCCGTTACTCCTTAATTTTTATGTGTTTAATCCCGGCGCTTGTGAAAACTATTGGGAATTTTTAAAATTTGACCTCCTGAATGCACCGATTCACTTTCCAATCGAACATGATACTGAAGTTGAAAATCGAAGCATTATTTCGACTACTTATCGTGTACACAGACACAAAAAAAAAAAGTAAAAAAAAATTAAAAAATTAAAAAATTAAAAAAAAAACATACATCATTGTAAAATCAGTACATTCATCGTTCCACTCAGAATCTAAAATATTGTTTATGGACTGTGGACGTGTTTATCTATTATAAACATGTGTTTGTTGTTTTAATATCTACATGTTAGTATTACAATAACAATCTCCACAAAAAAATAGAATACGAAGAAATGTTCAGATAGTACCTAAATCAAACGACAGAAAATGTCCTTAACAAAATATAAAATACAATGTTCCGTTGTTCATATTTGTACTTGTGTTTGTTTGGCAAGGTGTACCGTAATTTGCGCATGGTAAATTAAGCGCACGTTTATTGAGCGTGGTAATTATAGCGCACGACAATTAAGCGCATATGACATCTTGGCGATCGTCAAATCAGCGCTCACTACATTTTAGCGTGCGACAATTCAGCGCAATTTAAAAATATCTAATTGAAAGAATTTCCGTGTTATCGATGCAGCAGCAGAAGTTATTATCTATTGGTGTCTAGATAATCGAGATAGTCTGATATAGGCATATAGGTAGGTAACTAGTATAAAATAATTTTGTGGTTAGTATACGTAATGTATTTCGGCTTTCAACATTCAACAACATAATGTCTGTACTACAATATATAACTAGTCAAAGGGGAAAAAAATTATTAGTATACAACAATTATATTCATAGACAGGACAGACGAGATGAAAACAAAATAATTTGGAGGTGCAATGGAAATCAAAAGTGCTCAGGACGGGTCCATGTATCAGAAAGTAAGTACTAGGGCTCGGGACTTCTAGGAGTTTGCATGTTTTTAAATAATCATCAAAAACATAGCTAACTAATATAGAAATTTGTTTCATAGCAATACAAGTTTATATTTAAAATTTATAGTTGCATATTTTGCATATTTGACCATTTTTCATTTATAAGTGCATATTTGACCATTTTTCATTTTATAAGTGCATATTTGACAATTATTTATATGAAGGAGTATAAGTATAAAAACGTCGATCAACTCGTATCCAATGTAAAAAAATCATTTCTTAAGGCACCGTCACGTATTCAAATATTAAAATCTGTTGCACCTGATATTCCATTACCTCCGCAGCCTATTTTGACCAGGTGGGGTACATGGATAGATGCGGCTTCATACTATTGCAATCATTTTAAAATAATTGGACGCGTAATTGATATGCTTACTGAAAACGATGCAGAATCTATCAAGAAATGTAAACAAATTTTAAAATCCAATAATTTGGAAGCAAATTTAGTTTTTATTTTGTCAAATTATGGATTTATATCTTCATCTATCACTCGACTTGAAACCCAAGGCGTGGCACTAACTGAATTCATTAAAATAATTAAAATTGCAAAAGAACATTTACATTCTGCAAAAATTCAAGGATCTGCACAAGCTAAAGCAATTGATGAAAAAATAAAAAAGGTTTTGGAAAAAAAAGTTGGATTTGATCAACTACTAAAAATATCAAACATTTTAAATGGACAAGATGAATCAATGGACGGTTTGCCTGCAGATATTAGTAGTAGTGACCTACCATTTTTTAAGTTTGCGCCAATAAGTTCTGTAGACGTGGAACATTCCTTTTCCAAATATATAAATATTTTGGCTGATAACAGGTGGTCATTTAAATTTCCCAACTTAAGAAAGTATCTTATAGTCCAATGTAATGCTCAAGGTAATTAGTGCTATGTTAAGAATATAAAAATGTATTCAATTTAAATTATTTTTAAAAAAATTTAAAATTTTTTGTTTTAGATAAAAACTCAACATAAGATGAAAACAAAACTGAAAAAAAGAATACAATTATCTCAGATCATCATATTCATATCTATCATAATATCTAAAAAATAGTACTATTATTTATTAATTATTACTAATTTAATTTTTTTATTTAATTATTTATAATGCACTACAAATATATATATATTTTTTTAAATGCATATTTTAATAGCATATTTAGTGATTCTTTAGGGCATAAATGCATGCATATTTTAAGGTTTTTTAGGGCATGAAGTCCCTAGCCCTAGTAAGTACTAATAGTACACACCAGTTTTGGTAAATAAGAATACTTTTTAAACGAGAAAATACTTGTAATATTATGTAGTATTGTAAATACGTTTAAATGTCTTGTCACAAATTTATTTAAAACATACATAAAAAGTTATAAATTATATTAAGAATTATACAATTATACAATTATAAAAAAACTAAGTCTTAAAAATAAAAATTATTCACAATACGTACAAATTAATTATGAAGTTATTTATATTTAATTTTAAACTATATATATAATTTTAGATGATATTGTATTGAAATATGTAGACCATAGTCATTTATCAGACGTTGCTAAAATTCAAGCAAAGAAAACAGTTGAAGGAATGAAAACTCTTGCTAAAGAAAACAGTTTAACAACTCGTGCCATTCTTGGAGAAGGCTCTTCACAGGTAATAATACAATAAATAAAATATTATAAAATATAAATAGGGCTCGGATGTTTATGCACTTAAAACTACTGTAATATGCATGCGTTTATGCACTAAAAAATTACGAAATATACAAAATAAATAATAATAATAAATAATACCATAGATATGTATATAATATGTCTTAAACCTAGACTGACATACCGTCTCCGCTCAGAATCGTTTTTCTTATACAATGATATTATATCATTGAATTCAAATTTAATTTTACTTAAATGATTTTACTATTTGGTACTATTTTACACTATTATGTACAATTAATTAAGATTAATAAATATGTATTTAGCAATAATGATTTTAATTTGGGAATTTATTATATTTACTAACATTTAACTTAGTATATTTTATTAAACATGATGCGCGGAATGTGTTGCGCATAAATGTCGTATGCGCCGACATGTATTGCGCGTAAATGTCGTATACGCTGACTTGTGTTAAGCGGAAATGTCATCGCTGAATTGTCGTGAGCTAAAATGACTGCGCTAAATTGTCATGGAACCGTTTGGCAACTCTATGACCACGGACATCAGTGTATCGACGACGATTCAACGCGCCATTGCTTCTACCCGGCAAGAACACAGGTACATTTACGGCCAGTTATTAAAACGCAGAGTACTGACACTCCGTCATGGCTTGAAAACGCATCGTGAAACCTAATTCGTTAAATAATATCAATCATTGGATAAATATTTGATGTGTTTATCGACAAAATTAATGCAAATTCGATGGGATAAGAATCTGTTCATAAAACAAAATAACTCAAGTTATGGCGAGTATCAAACCATAATAGGCAAATAAGTTACCCTTATAAATTATAACAACAGTCATCTTTAAAGTGGTCGCTGGTCGTTTCATAATATATGCATAGCTATTACCTACATAATATGATAGTACACATAATATTTAATTTTTTTTTATAGTTTAGAGATCCCGCTTACATTTAGGTACTGATTGAAGAGGTAGGATGAATAAGTGGATTAATTAATCGAGAATCCATTGATATTTATTGTTTAAAATGTTTTTTTTTAATTTTCAAGTCTTAAAATATCAAATTTAATATTCCTAAGGTACAGCAATATTTCAATCGATAAACTAATTAAGTTGCTAGAAAGAGTATGTGCACACATATAATATTTTCTTAGTCCTAAATTCGATCGATCAAAATTATTCTATATCTAGATTAATTGCAGCTAATGGTATGAAGGATCTAAAGATACTAGGATCGTATAGCTGTGCGAAAGCGAGTATCATTTGTGGACAAGTTATCAATAATGTAAACCATAGATATTAATAATATTAATTTATTATTGTTGGAATTATGAACAAAACACCCTACATCGTGTATTTTATAAGTAGCCTATTACAGGGCTTGCATTTGAAAAAAAAATTCCGTTCACACAAGTTTGTCTACCTTTATCAAAAAAAAAAAAAAAAAAGGTGATGAAAGACACAAAAAAATAAAATAAAAAAACCCACATCATTGTAAAATCAATACATTCATCGATCCGTTCAGAATCTAATACATCCAATACACTATTTAAAATACTTTCCAAATACTTAATTCAAAAAGTATTTAGATATATTTACTTAAGGGGACTGCTCGCGATTTTTCAAATTTTCCGCAATTCTATAAAATTTGAAAATTAAATTTTATATTTTAGTTGCCACCTCAATTATAAGACTTTTCCACTAATCTACTACCCAATACCTATTTAGGGGGGGGGGTTGATAGGGTGTATTATATCGGTCAAAACACAGTTTACAGGAAAAACTCTCACACCTCGTAGATTGGTCCGATTTCCGAAATTTTGTTTTTGTTAGATAGAGGAATATTTTTTACAGGGCGCATTGGACTTCGATTTTTGATTACGTCGCTAAAAACAAAAAATAATACAAGAACTAAAAAGTTGTAAAAATTGATTAAATTCAAACTTGTAACATAAGACTTAGAAAAATAATGTTGAAAATCCAAGTCCAATGCGCCCTGTAAGAAGTCTTCCTCTATCTAACAAAAAAAAAATTACGGAAATCGGACCAATCTACGAGGCGTGAGAGTTTTTCCTGTAAGGCATGTTTTTGAGCAAAAAAACAGGTCGCGTGCAGGCCCCTTAAATACTTAACAAGACTGGATATAGGCTTATTTGGTGTTTCTGTGTTACATATTATTATGTTGTATAGGGAAATGTGAGTACCCAGTACCTACTGTTCAATCACTACCAAATTTGGATCTAAAATATGAAATTAAACAGATAAATGTATAAATAAAAAATCGAAATGGAAAAAACCAGCTTTATTGACTTCACACCAAATCACCACTGCAGGTAATGCCGGATGACATTAATATAAATACATAATGTAATAGTATAATGTATAACGGTTTGGGGAAGTAAAAATGTCTTAATTAACTACTTACCTACACGAAATCTTGTTTTAAATTTTAAATCCTTAGCTATAAAAACTAAACATTTTATAATTTATTAATTACAATGATTGATAATTTTCAAGATTTTTATAAATTTTGTTAAAATTCGAACTTTAAATGATTATAATAAAAATGTGTAACTATATAATCTTAATAATTTTCAATTGCTATTATAACAATATATCAGGAGCGTTGTACTAAATTTTTAAACTTTTTGGCCCAATATAGAAAAAAAAAAACTATAAAAATTGAAAACTGAAAATGTCCTTAAACGGTTAAAAAAGAATCAAAATATTTTCAAAATTGTATGGTGTATAGGAAATGCTAATATAACCATTCAGTGAAGTTTTCATGTATCTACAGTTATTCGTTTTTGAATTACAACAAATTAAGGAAATCGCTACATGAGAAAACGAGTGAATATCCAATATTGTAAGATTATGAACTTTAAACGCTCATAAAAATTTAATTTGATGAACTGTAGATACATGAAAATTTCACTGAATGTTTATATTAGGATTTTCTATACACCATACAATTTTGAAAATATTTTGACT